CCCTACCCTGCTCTACACGTCTTTCCCCCTTTCCCCTCAACACCTCTCCCGCTGCTCGCCCTCGCTCCCGACACTCGAATGCACGGGCCGCTAGAGCGCCGTTAGATCGCCACTCTCACCCCTAGACTCGTAGTTATGCCGCTAGGGCTGCCTTCTCTAACAGAGCAGCGTTGCCCAGCAGGGCTCTCGCACGCATGTTACTCGCGAAAAGCGCACAAGCGCTCCAACACCACTTCCACACTTCTCACGAATGGGCAATCTGTCCGAAAGTGTGGCTGGCAAGTCCTTATATTGCATCTGCGGGTCACGCCTTTTCACCTGTGGATCATTACTTTGGCTGTGGGATATGACTCTTACCTCCAGGACATGACTTTTGCCCGGGGAAGTGTCATTTGCCTGTGGGATATGACTTTTCACCTTTGACTCTGGGATGTGAGTGTTCACGGGGTGCTTGTTGGACTTGACTCCCAAGGTACCTGACCGTGACCTACTTTAACCACGCAACGACAGCCTTGTATTTTCCCGAATTTTCATTGGTGTGCTGCGGCTCGCAACTAAGAGTCATGACTTTTCACCTGTGGAACATGACTTCTGACTGCGGTTATGTGACTCTTACCACTCTGGGATGTGACTGTTCACCGACTGCCTGTTGGACTTGATTCCTGAGGTACCTGACTGCGGGATGTGACTCTCACCACTCTGGGATGTGACTGTTCATCGGGTGCCTGTTGGACTTGACTCCTAAGGTACCTGAATGTGAGCTCCTTTAACCACGCGACGACAGCCTTGTAGTTTCCCGGATTTTCATTGGTGTGTTGCTGCATGCATCTAAGAGTCACGACTTTTCACCTGTGGAACATGACTTTTGACTGCGGGATGTGACTCTTACCACTCTGGGATGTTTCACGGGGTGCGCGTCGGACTTCACTCCTAAGGTACCTGACTGTGACCTCCTTTAACTACGCGACGATAACCTTGTAGTTTCCCGAATTTTCATTGGTGTGTTGCTGCTTGCATCTAAGAGTCACGACTTTTCACCTGTGTCATTTTCTTATCTTTTTTTGTCGTTTTGTGGGCTCGCTCCTGTCGTTTCATTTTGGAATCTACCGCTGAAGTACAGAGAAATGCGTTGCTTATCGTTTTCCGTCGTTTTGTGGGCCCGCTCGCGTCGTTTCGTTTTTTTTTTTTTTTTTTTTTTTTTTTTTTTTTTTTTTTTTAATATGATATATTCTGGTAGGTGGAGATGGATTGGTAGGACTGCGAACAGATTCTCGGAGAATAACGGAAAAAACATTTGGACGAAGATGACTTTTTTAAGACTACGAATTGTTTTGCAGAGAATCTTGCCTATTTTTCAGATCCGGGAAGGGGATTTTTTAGGACTTTAAATCTTTTTGTCAATTGAAGAAGTCTTACGTATTTTTTATTTGATTTGGGGAAGAGACATTAATAGGACTACAAACTTTAATTTCAACCGACGAAATCCAGTTTATTTTTCGGATTTCGAGACTGTGAACAGATTCTCGGAGAATGTCGGGAAAAACATTTGGATGAAGATGACTTTTTAGGACTACGAAATGTCTTGCAAAGAATCTTGCCTATTTTTCAGATCCAGGGAGGGGATATTTTTAAGACTTTAAATCTTTTTGTCAATTGAAGAAGTCTCGCGTATTTTTTTTAGATTTGGAGAAGAGACATTTATAGTACTAAAAATCTTAACTTCAACCGACGAACTCCAGTTTATTTTCCGAATGTCGAGAAGAGATTTTTATAGGACTATAAAGCTTATATTCGACTGATTTAGTCTTGCCTAGTTTTCGGATTTGGGGAAGAGATATTTATAGGACTATAAATTATAACTTCAACTGGAAAAAAACGTCCTTGTCTTCATCATTCTGGGAAGAGACCTTTATAGGACTATAAATATGAACTTCAATTGAACAAGTTGAGGCTCTTTTTCGGATTGGTTGTACAGACCTTTATAGGACTATAAATATGAACTTCAACTGAACAAGTGGAGGCTCGTTTTCGGATTGGTTGTAGAGACCTTTATAGGACTATAAATCCTAATTTCAAATGACGACGTCCTTGCTATTTTCCGGCTTCACACTTATAGGACTATAAAGCGGTTTTGACAAAGCTTAAAAGTCGGGCTCCGCAAAGACGACCTTAAAGGAGACTGAAACAAGCTTGTATTAAGCCTTCGAAACTGGTTTCCTGGCAGAATGTATTTTTTGAACTGTAAGTCTACCCTAACATGCTGTTGAGAGCCGCACGCCGTTTTTGGCCCGAAGTCGGTAGCGTATATGTCAGCAAAAAACGCACTTTTGCAAAAATGCAATTATAGGACTATGAATGGGAACTCTCGACCTAAGCGAGAGCTGCAAAGTTGGGATCCTTTCTAGAGCGGGCATCTAATGCTTGCAAAAGATATGCGATTTTTACTCCCTCAAGATTGTGCACAACACCTGCTTGCGATTTGCAGTCGTAAATGTTATTTGTTCGTCGTTTTTCCTAATGGTCCTCCCCAAAGGTTATTCCTCTGCTTTTTTCCCGCTCATTTCACTGCCGCCGAAATTGGGGTTCTTACTGAGGGCCGAAAATCAGCTGTTGTAAAACTTCAAACACAATTTTGCAAACCTAACAATTTATTTTGTTAGGTTTTCACGAATCCCCTGTTCTCTCTCTCTCTCTCTCTCGCACGCGCTCGCGTTTTGAAACATGAAATGGGAACGCATCTTCCCGCGATAGCGGGAAGATCCGTTCCCATTTCGTAGAGACAGAGAGAGAGAGAGAGAGAGAGAGAGAGAGAGAGAGAGAGAGAGAGAGAGAGAGAGAGAGAGG